CCCCGCCGATGACCCGGGCAACGGCGGGCGACTCGGCCAACCGCGGCGCGCTCAGCCCTGCCGGGGGAAAGACACGCCACTGTGGGAACCGCCGCTTGGGGTCGCTCTAGACCCGGAGCGGGAGGGTGGCCAAGGTGGGGGCTTGGGCGGGGAAGACTGGGTTCGAATCCCGGCTCAGCCAGGGAGAGTCGTAGCGCGAGGCAGGCCGGGGGAAGCGTGTGATTAAAAGTTATGATTAACTTTTCTTTGAACACGCCTCGGAAAGCATCCTAGGGTAGACTGGGATTGAACAGGGGTGGGCGGAAATTCCTACAGCTGGGGGTAGGCATAACCCAATAACAGGGTTACAAGGCAGAGGGGGGGGAAATGCCCGGCTCAGTTATAGTAGGAGCGAGAAGGATTTTGGGATCGGTTGTAGATCCAATTCTGAATAGGAGCCAGCAGGGTGATGCGGCTGCAAAAAAGGCGCATGCGATTTTGGGATCCATGGGCAGAAGTCGAGCCTCCCAATCCCATGAGCTGCTGGTCCCACCTCTCTTTGGCACACGTGAGGCCTCCTGGAGAGCCCTGGGTTCCAGTTCTGAACACCCCACTTGAAGAAGGAGGATGACCAAGGGGAGCCAGTTCAGAGGAGGGCAAGAAAGGCGAATCAGGGGACTGGAACCCAAGCCCTATAAGGAGGAATGATGGAAAAACACCGGGCCTGTTTAGCCTTGGGAAGAGAAGATCGAGGGGGAGAGAGAGGATTGCTCTCAAGATTTGAAAGGTGGTCCCTCCAGAGGAGAGGGTCAGGATCTGCCCTCCATCCTCCCAGAGCACAGGGCCCATCATCCTGGGCGGATGGGTCTTTCCTGAAATAGTGGGTTGAGCCTCTCAAATAAACTCTCCTTGGGAGTTATTCAGCAGTGCCCTTCTGGGGCGAAGGGGATCAAGCAGACCGGTCCCGAGGCCCCCTCCTTCACTTCTCTGCTTTTCCGGCCTTCGGGGGGGCTGCCACCCTCTCTCATGCAACCGAGGATTCAGGTTGCATCATTTCCCCACCTGCAGCCCTTGTAAACACGAAACCCACCCCCAGGGAATCCGGGCTTCGAGCCCCCCAAGGATTACGGCCCGAGAAGTCGCGTGGCAACCCATGAACGCGGTTGTGTGTCTGTGAGTTTGTGTGTTTTGTGTGAGAGAAAAGTGAACTTGAATGGAGGTGATTGTTTATTATTTGGATCCATACAACCTAAGGAATAGATAAATATTATTAATAATATAGCAAGGTCATAGTTATGGATTGGGCTGGATTCTGAGTACTACTTTATGTGTTAAACCAGACCTGCTGGAACTTAATCTCGTCATGACACATGGAAGTCTGAGAGATACTGCTGGGTTGACTCTCAGTCTGAGCCATAACATCATATTCGCCACTTATCATCATTGTTTATCATCACCCTGTCATTGTGACTGTTCATTTTTTTTCTTCTCAGAACATCTGGGAACCACTGGTCTCGAACCTCAAAACTCCAGATGTTCTTGGACTACAACTCCCAGAAGCCTTCGCCCCCAGCTGTGCGGGCCAGGATGGATGGGGCTTGTAGTCCAAGAAACATCTGGGCTGCTCCGCATTGGGAACCGCTGGTTCTCTCTCTCTCTCTCTCTCCTGGGGGTTCGCACCCAGGACCGATCCAATCACCGTGCGGGGGATCCGCGCAGAGTGGGGTGCGACTTCATTCAATAAATAAAATAAAATTATGGGCGGAGCTAAAAGCATCCTGAACGGAAGGCAAGGGGGCTTTTTTCGGCCAGTCAGCAGGCGCATGCAAACGACCCCAGCGAGCAGAGCCAATCAGGAGGAGCCCAGGAGGCGTGGCTAGGCCAAAGAGAACCCCATTCAGGTCCTGGGGCGAGGGTTTCATTCATGCACCGGCTTGGCGCGCGGCCAAAGGGCTCCTGCGCCCACTTTTGCCAGCCAAGAGAATCGGCTTAAGTTGGATTCCGCGCAATTGTTTCCACGCTTCCTTCCACGAGGGAGGCTTGTGGGCTCGGGCGTCTTGGAGGGGGTTCGGAATTATCCGCGGGCTCCTGCTGGAAGCGCCTGGACCCGCCTGGCGGCGGGAGGGCAGGTGAGGTGGGCGCACCTGAGCGCAGATAGATAAATAGATTATTTAGATAAATAATCAATCCTGATCATTTATATATGCTTATTAGTTTAGTTTAGTTTTAGTTTATTATTATACGGTCATAGACCCGAAAATACAAAAATAAGCACATTATATAAAATATACAAAATAAGTAAATTGTTAAAATATATCAGCAGTATAAAACATGAGTCATGTACTTGTCTTATTATAACATTTTACGAATTCTTAAAACTGTGAATAAAAACTTAGCCACCGACTGTGTTATTAATTGGTTCTCTCCGGACAGCAAAAACTTCAGGTAGTCTCTGGGAGGTATACCAGTACATTTATACATTATTGGGTAGAGATAATGGTTACGTTCAGATCTATATAAGGTACATTCTAAAATGGTGTGTGCCAAGGACTCAACTGTTTGTTCCCTACAAGGGCATATCCTTTCTCTATAGGGAATGTTATTAAAGCGCCCTTTTAACAGGTCTGAGGGAAAGCAGTTAAACCTAGCCCTTGAGAAGACAAAATGATACCTTGGTACTGTGATTTGATATAGATAATTTGCTAACTTGGGAAAGTTAAATATGCTTATTTAGTTTCTTAATTTATATACCGTCCCATTAGAGTAGCAGACTAATCTTGGGCGGTTTACACCGGCGTAAAATACAACTCAGCAACGATAGGTCTGGAAATAAGACCAAGAGTCTCTAAAATACGAGAGGCTTAAAATCAGTTAAACGCTTTTATCAAGCGGCTAAAAATATATCACATTTTAGTATTGCCTGTCTGTGGATTTGGGCTCTCTCCAAACTGCTAAGTAACTTGATTTTCTTTCCTTTTTAATCTCTTTCCCACGCAATTTAAAGTTTTGTAAAGTTTTAAAATCAGGTACTATAGTTCCTTCCTGGTCAGTTCTCAACCCGAATAAATATGACTCAAAGCCGTGAGAATCCGAAAGGGATGCAAAATGCAAATTCTAAATGTTTTACCCTTTTAAAAATAATTCAATTGGATTTTGTTTAGTGTTTAGTTTAATAATGTGTGGGTTTTTTTAAAGTTTAGCATTATGCCTTTAATTCAATTCTTTTTTTATTATCATAATCCACCCGCTTTGCGTGCCCTGATTGGGAGAAAGGTGGCCTAGAAATAAAATCAACCAATCAATCATAAAATCTTAAAAAATAAAATAAATCTTAAAAGTTAAGAGTGAAATATATATGGGCTGTGGTTTTCCTAGGAGATGGATTGGAGAAATGCATTCATCTTTTCTCAGAGCTTTGAACTCTTCACTCTAGCAAAACGATTATAATACAGTATACAGTACATATTATACCTACAGAATGTGCATAGTATGATCTCTGGCTCCCTCTTGTGGCCACTCCTGGTAGCCTCCTCTTAAGAAATAGATATTTTAGGGTTTTTCCTTTAAGTTTGTTTAATATTTTCAGACCGTGGGTAAGTGAAGCAGTGGATACCGATCCTGTGGATACGGGAGTCCTGCTGAATGGAAACAGATCTGTGTCACTCGGGGTGGCTGCAGCTGCACGTTGATTGCACGTACGATGGATACCGATCCTGTGGATACGGGGGTCCTGCTGAATGGAAACAGATCTGTGTCGCTAGGGGTGGCTGCAGCTGCACCTTGATTGCACGTACGAGTGCACTCGTAAAATCGAGTTTCAGGCATCATAGCATTGCTCTTGCTCCTGGTTGGAGTTAAGCATTTATGATTGCAGTGGGCTGATTTATTTTGGAAAATGTGTGCTTGTGTGTGTTTCTGGGCTGTTCCTGGACACTCTTGATGGTGTTTGCAGCTCTGCATAGTCTAAATAAGGAGACCATCCTTTGGGGTTTTGGAAAATGTGTGCTTGTGTGTGTTTCTGGGCTGTTCCTGGTCACTCTTGATGGCGTTTGCAGCGTCTAAATAAGGAGACCATCCTTTGGGACGGACCAAAGATCAGTCTAGTCCGAGCGAGGTGCCTTAGATAAGATCCCGCCAGATGTTTTTGGGACGCTCAGCCAGGAACCTATGAGAATTGCTGCGTTATTTTTACCCCGGGATCTGGTGCTTTGAGGTAGACTGCCCTGAGCTAGGAGGTTCTACACTTCTTCTTCTTCTTCTTTGCTCTTTCCGCAAGACTGGGCGCACCTTTTCTGGTAGCGCTCAGGGGATCTTTCCGTCAAAGGTCGAGGCGACTGGAATGGCAAATGGGGAACTGCAATGCCCCCGAAATAAAAATGGCCACTTTCGCTCTTTGTCATTCTTAGAATTTGTGAGGTGTCAGTTTGCAGATGGTGAAAAACCAGAGGAATGTATATATAGACGTTAGGGCCACTTTTTGAGAGTCAGAAATCCCATGATCTGGTAACAGATTGAGTCATTAGAGGACCTCACCGTATTCCTAAGGCCCTACCCAGATAAGAAACCAGAACAGCTCTATTTGTTTGTTTATTTATTCATTAATTTGTTTATTTAAAATACATTTATCCTGCCTTCTCCTTAAAAAGGTCCAACCCCTAACACAGTGCAATACACCTGCAGCTGCAGCTTCCCTGAGAGACAGAGGTCTGGCCTCTGTTATAATACAGTCAGACCTCCATATCCGCGGGTTTGCTATCCAATGCTATACATAGCCTGGTCTCAGGCTCCCTCTTGTGGACAGTTCTGCTAACTCCACCTTTAGGAACATATGTTTTCATACCATGGACGAGTGAACCAGTGGATACAGATCCCGCAGATAAGGGGGTCCTAATGTACTTTTCTACACAATGCAAGATCTGCAGCTGAATATATTAGCCACAGGAAGGACTAGTGATCACCTATCCATTTTAGGAGTTACGGGGAAACAACCTGATACAGCTGGCAGGGCAGAATGAGTGGGCTCAGCTCGATTCAGTAAGGTGGCCACAAATTATCGTGGAGAAAAAGCCTTTGTCCTTTTATCCTTTTGATAAAACCGATGCTGCAATTTCTGGAGAACGGAGGTCCCTGACTTTTGCCGAGAATGATGCTCAAGATCTAGAAATATTTCCGGAAAGGGGCTTTCCGACCGGAATATTTTTGTTTTTCCCCCCTCAAGTTTCCTTTTGAAACGAGCTACCCATGGAAAGGCCCCAAGCTGGCCGGGCCCCACATGGGTGGTTTCACCATTTTGACCCCGCAATGGGTCTTGGGAACCTCGTCACCGCTTCCTGCCACTTTTTAAAAACGAATTCTGACCCATTAAATATAGTCTGACGCCCACGCGCGCAAGATGAGAAAGGGAGCCACTGCTTGAGTGAGTTTTTAAATCAGTGGGAAAGCTCTTGTGGGCCTGTGTATTTAATCCCATTCGCCCCCCCCTCTCTCTCCCACAAAGACTGTTCCTGTCTTCTGGAATACGTTCCTCTCTGCTGAAGGACGATGGGCAGGAAAAAAATCCAGATTAGCAGGATTTCGGACCAGCGGAACAGACAGGTTGGTGGCCTTTTCTTTACTAAGGGGAAACGAGGGAAGGATTGAGCTCCCAGTTCAAAGGTCCTTCTGATTATCTTGTTTTAAAAGCAGTCCAGTATTGGAAAGCTTGGGGAAGCCCGCAGGCAGCAGCCCTCCTGCCTTGCTTCTTTTCTCTGGCACTCACCAAGGTAGACTTCTGCTTTACAGAGAGGTTCGTCCTTGTCATCCGTCAGAAAATTCAGGTTGTTTTAAACAAAAGCGACCGTCTACACTGGCTTCCTGTTTCTCCCTGCAGGGACCACCCTGGCACGTAGGCAAATCCAGTTGGACACCCCTCCCCCATATCCGTGGGATCCATATAGGCTGATTCACTTACTCATGGTGTGAAAATGTTTTTTTAAAAAAATCCCTAGAAATATAGATTTCTAAAGAGAAAGTGACCAGAATGGGCCACAAGAGGGAGCCAGAGAGCGTGCAGTGGATAGCTTTTGCTATTAAAACAGCATTTGCTATTGGCCATGTTTTTCAGCATCCACCTGGGGAGGGGGGAGTTTGGAACAGAGACGGGGCTCCGCAGTGCCTGGGGATCCGGAGGGATGTCATAGGCCACAAGAGTCCTTTCTAGCTGGAAGTCGAACCAGTCAACTGCTCCCCATGTCTTGCTTCCACTCGGTTCTAGGTCACCTTCACGAAGCGCAAGTTCGGGTTGATGAAAAAGGCCTACGAACTCAGTGTTCTTTGTGACTGTGAGATTGCCCTCATCATCTTCAACAGCACCAACCGCCTCTTCCAGTACGCCAGCACCGACATGGACAAGGTGCTCCTGAAGTACACCGAGTACAACGAGCCACACGAGAGCCGGACAAACTCGGATATCTTGGAGGTAAAAAACCCTCAGATGATGAAACGGGATATATAGTCCTCTTGGAGACCACCCGTTACTCCATCTGGCACAGAAATCTAGGCACTAGGCCATTGCTGCTTCAATCCAGTCGGATCCCCCCCATACCCGAGGGATAAACATTCGCTGATTCACTTATCCGGGGTGTGAAAATATTCAAATGAATATAAGAAAAATCCTAGAAATATATGTATTTCTGAGGATGAAGTTACTAGAACTGGCCATTAGAGGGAGCCAGAGAGCATGCTATGTATAGCATTTACTGTTATACTACTGTTCTCTATAATCCACATTTTTCAGCATCTGCGGGGGGCTTGGAACCCATTCCCCAGGGATATACATCTTTATATATATCTTTATTAATATATATTTCTAGGATTTTTCTATTAATGTTTTTCTTCTTTTTAGACACGGAACAAGTGAATCAGTGGATACTGATCCTGCAGATAAGGGGGGTCCTACTGTAGTTCTTCTCAGGGAAGGGGCTGGATTTTGGTTTGTTGCTTCTGTCGGCGAGTGCTTTGTGCTCCAAACTTTGCAGACTTTGAAAAGGAAGGGTGTCGGCCTCGAAGGCCTGGGGGCGGACGTCGGAGGGGCTTCCGAACTTCCCGGGTATCCGAGGCAGCTTGGGGAGAGTGCGGGTCTCAGGCCGGCACCGCCAAAGCTTAGGGTGAGTAACTGCTGAACTGGTCGCTTTGAGGCTTCCTTCCAGAGCAAAAGGTACCTGGGTACTCCATGGGCCAACCTCCAAAAGATGGAGGCCTGAGTCCACCTCGAGCCGGCTCCCTGGGGCTGCCGAGCTCAAACTCAGGTTGTGCGCAGAGGCTTCACTGCGGCGCTGCCGTCAAACCACGGCACCGCGAGGCGCTTGGGTTTCTGAGTGATGAGTTCGAGAGCTGCTGTTAGCTGCCTTCCCTCTAACTTCTCTGTCCTTTTGGTCTTCTTGGCAGCCGGCCACGTCTTCATCTCGTCTTGAGGGGCCCCCCACAGAAACCCCCCTCTCTGGGGCCAAGCAGTGGGCAAGCAGCCCTGGGAATGCCCCTCTTCCACAGGCGTTTCCACCTGCTCTCCCCAAACCCTACGGCCTGGTTTCTAGACGCTCTCAAGCGACAGGTAGGTTTCTCGGGGCGACTCTCGCTGAAACTGTACAAGACAATGGGGTTCTGGCAAGCCAAGGCCTAAGTGTGCATGGTTAAAATGAGAGCCATGGCTTTTTGGATTAAATATAAAAGAGGATCTTTCTATCCACAGGGAATCGGTTCCAAGACCTCCCCCTCCAACCACCCCACGGATGCTGAAAAGGGTGGATTATAGCAATTGCTACTGTATTAGAATAGTAAATGCTCTAATGAAGAAGTTACCAGAACTGGCCACTAGAGGGAGGCAGAGATGATGCTATGTGTAGAGTCTACACATGGCATAGTCTCTACTTCCCTCTAGTGGGCAGTTCTGGTAACTTCCTCATTAGAAATACTGTATATTTTTCTGGGAATCTTTTTATATATATAAAAAAGATTTTTCATCTTTTCAGACCATTGATTCATGAATCGGTGGATATGGATCCCCTGGGTCAAGGGGGTCCTGCTGTAAAATGTCCCCCCAAACGGCTCAATAAACCATCAATGGCGGCTGGTTTAAATTGGTTTTCTTGGTCGCACTAGGTGTGAGCTCGCCCAGCGTCCCTGTCTCTCATCCCCAGCTTGTGCTTGGCCTTTTTTTCTGCTCCTGCAGGTATCAGAGGACCCATCATCCCCCACAGCCAGCTCAGCCACATGGTGTTGAGCAAAACCCCTCCGCCATTGCATGGGGAAGCCGATCACCGTTGGATGGAAGGGCCCCGGTCCTGCGCCGGAAGCATCCGAGGGCCTGACGTGAGTCCTTATGAGTGTTCAGGCATGCTTCTCATCCTGGAAAGATTGCTGGGCAAACCCAACAAAAGCGGGGATGGTGGTGGAAGGACATCCCGTATCCCTCGGGCTGAAAATCAGCACCGCCTCGAGTCTTTTCCAGGAGAAAAGTGGGGTAAAAAAAATCTTTTAAATAAATGTAAATGATCAATGAACCGCCAGGAGGCAAAAGGAAAACAGACAAAAAGCCAACCAATAGCAGGTTCTCCTCTTCCACCAGGAAACCCATAAATCAAAGGTGGGAAAGGGTGTTTCTCCCCCACCCTTTTTACAGTCAAGAGAAGTACAGTTGGACCCCCATATCCACGGGATCAGTATCTGCGGACTCCCTTATCCACAGCCTGACAATATTAAGGATATTAAAAGGATGATAGATTTAGGAGTGCTCCCAGATAAACCAGCCTTGGTGGACTTGAAGGTTGTGGGTGTTTTAATCCCTAGGAACATATTTTCTCTAAACTCCAGATTGGCCCAACCTGACCCCCCCCCCCATCTCCTGGCTTTTCTCCCCACAGGGTTCAGCCCCTTCTGGTCTCCAAGGGAGAAGCCCCGTGCTGCTCACGCGAAGCTCCTGCCTCCCAGGTCACAGTCTTCCGGGTGACTCCTTCCTGTCCTCCGGCCCTGCAGGTACGGTTTGGGAATGAAGGATGTGGCTGTATTTTGAAATTTTGGCTCAGTTCCTTGTGCTGCGCAAGCTGAAGTGCAGGGGTTCACGGAGCTCAATAGCGTCACGTTCCCTGGAGCAGTCCACCCCCTTTTCTCATCCACATAGAGAGATTGCCACCATCCCCCCCCCCAAAAAAAAGTCTCAAAAACTCACTCCGAGACATTCACGGAAGGCAGAACAAAAGGTTCCATTACTGACGATTGAACAGCTCAAACGGCCAACCGATGAACGCGACTGCTTTTAACTAAGACTTCACCAGATTCACAGCATCCAATGGACAAAAAAAAAGGGGGGGAAGAAGACACTGGGCAGAGAGGCGGGGCTCTCCAAGGCAGAGAAAACGATTGGTTCGTGCTGTTTTGTGACGGACCACTCCCCCCACCTCCAGCCCAGAAATGTCCCTCCTTCCCAAAGCAGCCTGCGAGGTTGCAGAACCTCCAAGTGAAGACTGGGAAAGGAAGGATCGTGATTGGCTCTTGCTTTCTTCCTCTCCTCCCGACCCCATGGATTGCCTTTTCAGAGTTTGATCCGGAGGAGAGCCGATCCCCCGCCTCCGGCATGCAGGCAAAGCCCACGGCTCTGTGGGAGCCCCGAGACAAGGTCATGATCACGCTCCAGGCTCTGGGGTAAGAGGTCAGGAAGGGAAGGCAGGCACCTTCAAGAGATGTAATTCCCGCCCTCGCCAGCAGAGGCACACTTTGTACAGGATCGAGGCAGGGCAGGACACCCAGGCCAGAAGTCCCGAGAGCCTCTCGGGGAGGGAGGGGATGGCGTATACGCCGAGAAGACCTCGGCAGGAGAGTTTTCGTGCTTCGCCTGTGTGGCTCGGAGGCATACTGGGACACCCACACACACGCCCCGTATCCACTGATTCACTTAACTGCCGTCTGAAAAACATTAAAAAAAATCCTACAAATGTATATTTGTATATTTCTAAAGCAGAAGTTACTAGAACTAGCCACGAGAGGGCACTAGAGACCAGTCGATGTATAGCCTTTGCTAGAAATATTTCTATCATGTCATTACCTGAACTAGCCATTTGAGGGAGCTGGAGATCATGCTATGAGTACAGTATTTAGTGAAGAATAGATTGCATGCTTCCTGGCGCCCTTTAGTGGCATGTTCTGGTAATGCATGGGGAGTTTTTTTCCGTTTATCATGCTATGCACAGAGTGTTTGCTATTATCTACTGTTTTCAGTATCCACATGGGTTTGGAACCGATCCACAGCTGATATGGGGGTCCCACTATAACCTTTCCATGGAGGGAGTAGCTCGGGAGCAGGGTAACGAGGAAGGCATGGGTCACAGGGTGGTGCTGATGTCCTAAGGAAATGGTGTTCACATGACTTGCTGAAATGGAACCCATCTTTTATACTGAATCTTTTCCATGTTCCTTTTTCTCCTACAGGGCAGGGGGCCGGATGAGTGGCCGGACTCTGGCGCCCCCTGGTTCCCCTCCCTCACAACCCTCGGTCAGGGTCAAATCGGAGTGGATCTCCCCTTCGGACAGCTGTGCCGCCATGGCCCCGAAGCCCGTCTGTGCTTTCCTGCCACCCCTGAGTCATGTCCCCATAGACTTTTCCCCGGGGGGTGATTTTTCTAAATCTTACCTTCATCCATGCTTTCTCTCACAGCCTTTGGTGGAGGAACATCTCAAGGTTCCCACACGTCCGCTGCAACCCACAATACATGACTGGTAAAGAGAGTGGCAACAGACAAGGCAGAAAGACAGACAGTGGGACCCCAGTATCCACGGGATCCATATCCACGGATCCTTTTAACCACAGTCTGAAAATATTCAAAGCCTTAAAAAGAAAAACCCTAGAAATAAAGATTTCCAAAGATGAAGTCAGCAAAACTGGCTGCTAGAGGCAACCAGATCCCATGCTGTGTATAAGTTCCGATATCATATTGTTTGCTATAATCCACATTTTTCCGCATCAGCAGATGGGGGGGGGAGCTTGAAATTGATTCCCCATGGATCTGGGGATCCGAATGTATTGGTATTTTTTTTAGTTTCATATTTATGTGTGTCTTCTGTGCCATCAAATCAGAAGTGACTTATTGCAACCTTTCAAGTGAAGTGAGATATTTCAGGAGTGTTTTTACCCGTTCCACCCCACCCACCCAGTGAGATTCCTTGGCCAAGCAGGGATTCAAACTCGGCACCCCACCCACCCAGTGAGATTCCTTGGCCGAGCAGGGATTCGAACTCGGCTCTCCTGAGTCCTAGTCCATCACTCTGTCCACCACATCATACTGGGGAATCCTCCGATTCAAGGCAAAGGTCAAAACGAATGGCTTGCAAATGGTCTCACCTCCTCTCTTGAGGTTCTCCATCACCAGCTTTCTTCCCATAGGCTTCTGGCAAATTGTTACTGTATTTTCTTTGGAGAGACCCGTACTCTTCGGTCAAGTTCTCAATGCTTCTGTTGTATAAACCCAGAAGACTGCGGAGGCGGTGGCCAGATTTCCTCCACTCAGTAGCCCACTTTCTCCTGGCTTCTTTTTCCAAGCCTAAGCTCCAGCCATCAGAGTTAGTAGAAGATCAAACATCTAAGGAAACCAGACCTGGCACCATATTTGATTTTGGGTTGTTTTGAAGAGTTTGGGGCATTGAGAAAAAAAGGAGCTGGCCCTTGAAACCTTATCCCCGGTGAACGTTCTTTATGCTTTCCTGCTTATGGCAAAGGCGAGTCCCTGGGGGCACTGTGCCCCCCCTTTCTCCATCTCTAAGAAGTTCTCGGCCTCCCTGCCACGTTGCTTGCATATGGTACCTTTTTTCACCCCACTACGATCTTTATTATGGAAACGTGCCCCTCACACACTTGAACTTTAAGGAGCTGCTTCTTCGAGTCCCCACTTCGTGATTGAGGTGGAAGGAAACCCCCGATATCTCCAGGGAGACACGAAGGACTCGAAACCATCACCCAGCATTTTGGCTGTGAAGATGTGGGAGTAAAAAGGAACAAGAAGTCCAAGACTGGCCCCAAGTTGTAAAAACAATGTTTAAGGAGGCCCAGATCCTTAAAAGGGTGTGCTTGTGGATTTATCTTTATTGCCACCAGGGGACATGTTCTCTCCTCGTTCATGGGCCCTTCAATGCATGAACCAAGTAGACAGTCCAAGGACGTGGCAAAAAATCTTACTTCCCTGCAGTTAAGGAACTGTGCAAATTAAATAAAGATTTTGTCCCCTTTTTGATTTCATTCATTCATTCATTCATTCATTCATTCATTTATTCATTTATTTATTTATTTATCTATTTATTTATTTATTTTATATGTCGCCCACTCTACCCAAAGGTCTCTGGGCGCCTTACAACAATTAAAATTCAATACAATAAAATATGAAAATGATTAAAATACAATTAAAATACAATTAAAATTGCCATCATCAAGACCCACAGTTGATGTTATTTCAATTAAAAGCCTTCTGGATTGTCCTCTTTGCTGTAGGAACTCAAATAACTAGGAGCCCAGGATGCCCCTGATCACAATTCTCACCTTGAAATGCTGGCTCTGTTTGTTACTCAGAAGGAAACCATCTTCTGTCTGCTCCCATCACAAACACAAAAGTGTAATTAGATCTTACTAGTTCCCCCCTTCCGCCGCCTACAAAGCTTCCTTTAGAAAATACCTTCGCTAATACGGAGGGGGTGTGTGTCTTACTGTATCACAAAACAACCGTGGGAGCTCCTTATCGACGGGATCAGCATCCACGGATTCCAAGATCCATGGTTTAAAAAGATAAAATCATGTAGGGTGATAGAAAACTCTTGGGAGAGAAGGCAGAGGTTTCAGAGTGCTCTGTCCGTGGTGCTGAACATTTTAAACCAGGAGCTCTGCCCCTGTGTGGCATTTGTAGATTTCAGAGTATTTTCCCCCAAAAGAATTTTTTAACAGTTTCCTGATTTCCTGCCAACTCAGGGGAATTCTGAGTGCTCAGGGAGGTGGGAAGAATGAATTCATTTGATTTATTTATTTAAACTGTCTTTATACCGCCTTTCTCCTTTAAAAAGGGCCCAAGGTGGCTTACATCATTAACAGACAATATTTAAGGCTAAAAAAAACAACACCACAATTATTTTTTAAAAAATATTTGTATATGTCTTGGTTTCGGTGGTTCAATGTTGTCCTTTCAATGTGTCTTTTAAAAGAGAAAGGTGGGGTAAATCTATTTTGAATGGATGGATGGAGGAATGAATGAATCAATAGGTCAATGAATCAATCAATGAATCAATCAATCAATCAGCATTTAAATTATCTCAGAAGGCCGATTGATAATAAGAAGAGAGGCAAGCTAAGAATAGAAGGAGAGATACATCTGTAAAAATACCGATGGATAGTCGATTTTCAGATATGGAAATTTGAACCTTTCTGATTTTCTTTCTCCCAGTAAGTTGACAGGGAAATCTTGAACTATTCACTAGTATTAGAACATATTTAAATGTAAGCAGACTCTTCCTCTCCATGCATATCTTTTGTCACTATTCCAAGATTCTTCGCTTCCCTCTTCACTCCAATTGCTTTTGGTACCACCTGTGAGTTCGTATCTGCTGATTCACTTATCCACAGTCTTAAAAATATTTGAAATATTAAAAGAAAAATCTTAGAAATATATTTCTAAAGATGAAGTTTCCAGAACTGGCCACTAGAGGGAACCATAGACTGTGCTATGTCCCATGTCCGCTGGATCAGTATCTGCTGATTCACATATCCACTGTCTGAAAATATGAAAAGAAAAATCCCATAAATATATATTTCTAACAGTTACTAGAACTGGCCACTAGAGGGAGGCAGAGTCCAGGCTATCTATAGCATTTTGGATTATGTAATAGGGTTTGGTATAATCCGCGGTTTTCAGCATCTGCGGGAAAGAGGCTTGGAACCAATCTCCTGTGAATATGAGGACACTACTGTACTTGCCATGAGAGGAAAACATACACTTCCCTTGATCAGAACAAGTTTATCTTTAAAAAAAAACAGTAGAAGAGAAATAAGATCTCGGAACAAGCTTGTTGGGTCTCCTTGGTTCCTTTAAGCTTACAGGTGCTTGACTGCTGGATAGCTCAGGGGTTTAGGGAATCTGATTGGGAGTTCGAATCCCTCCTTGACAGGGGCTGGATTGGATGATCTCGAGGGTCCCTTCCTGCTCTGCCCTTCTAAGATTATTCTTATCGGTTGCTGTGGGTTTTTCGGGCTGTTTGGCCGTGTTCGAAAGGTGGTCCTTCCTTACGTTTTGCCAGTCTCTGTGGCCGGCCTCTTCAGAGGACAGGAGTCAGAACTCTGTCTGTGCTCTGGCGAGCCTTTGAGAATACATTATTCTTCTTATTTGTCTCTCCGACGTGGTAGTATCAACAGAGGGTCGGTTCTGCTCCAGAAGCATCCTCTCTCTGCGCCTGTCATCAGCGTGGGAACGACAAGCCCACGTTTTCCCCTCCCGGGTCAACTTCCCCAAAAATTATCTGTTGAGCACTGAAGTAGACTCCTAACTCTCGTTAAAGTTTTGGAATCTCTCTCGCTCTCTCTTTTTTTAGCTTGGTTTTTCAAAAGCTCTTCTGCAGCGCCTCACCAAAACCAAGGCTGTCTTGCAGTTCAGACAGTGAGAATAAAGGCCATGGTTTCCCCCCTGCCACATGGGACGGGAAAGACAGTTTGGGGAGTCATTGGGATCCCCCTTGGAACGAAGACGAGACGGCTAGAAGGGGCGGTATTGTGTGGGTCCCGGAGACAGATTTCAACCCAGACCTCTAACTTGGGAGCCAGTGGCGTGCAAACTTGTCTCTCAATAGGCAGCCCCACATGGCAGTGACATCACTGTGGCTTTGGGGAGTGACCTGTGACCCTGTCTGGCTGTCCCGCATAGAAAGGCTGTCGTCTTGCCCCCGAGTTTGGTATTGTCCTCTATTCCCGTCCCACCCTCTTTTTTTCCCAGGCTTCAGCTCCCAGACACACACGCAGCCCCCCCTCTTTCCCCCCTCCTGCCCACCCAAAAGCGTCTCTGATTCACTTGGATTTAGCAACAGGCCAGTGGGAAGCCCGGACATCATTTCTGGGTCCCCGGCAGGATTGGCTACAAAACAAACAAAGCTAGCAACTTTTATTTTAAACAGGACTTGGGGGGGGGGGGAGATGATAAAAATTGCCGTTACAAGCGCTTGATCTCCTATTCCTTTTCTTTCCAGCCCATGCTCGGCAACTCCTCGGAAAGGAAAGAAAGGAAAATTTGGTTTTGGAAGAATAAGAAGGCGCGTCTGCGTTGTGGGGGGGGAGATGAAAAAAATTGCCGTTACAAGCGCTTGATCTCCTATTCCTTTACTTTCCAGCCCGTGCTCAGCAACTCCTCAGAAAGGAAAGAAAGGAAAATTTGGTTTGGAAGAATAAGAAGGTGCGTCTGCATTCTTGGAATGAGGGGGAGACACAGGTGAAAGGCAAGTAAGTAGAGAAGGCTCCCCCACCGGATTCTCTGCAGTGCAAAGTTAAAAGAGCTGTCGGTCTAGTTTTTGTGAATCTGGAAAGAGTTGGTCCCTGTGCAGGTTTTAAAAAAAACATGGGCAAAGCCAGCTGTTAAAAAAAAAAGAGAGAGATAAATATCCAGTTTGAACTAAAGGTGCATTTGTTTAGAAACAGTGTTGGTTTTTCCGCCGATTCCAAAATTCTTTAACAACCTTTGGGGGAAAGCCGTTGTCTGCTGCTGCGCAGGGAAAAGTGAGAGAGACATTATGAAATCAAAAAAATGCATTAAAATACTGATGGCTGCACTTATTTATGGGGACCAAACTTTGCATTCTTCCAAGAAAGAACTAAGGTTAACTCATGCCATTCTCTGTGTCAGGATTTGAGAGGCACGGATGTTTTCTTTCATTTCTTCTGTAACGTCACTTTGAACACAGAGAGAGAGCTGTCAACCCTAAAAGGTTTCATTCACTTTCTGAGGCGGATAGAGCCGGGCGACGATTTTTGACTTTTTACAGAAAAGAATAAGTGGATTTATCTTTCTTTCTTCGGAACGGTGGCTTTACGGATGCTTTAAGCCGTCGGAGGAGAAGAAGGTCAGAGGGTTTTCCGGGCTTTGAAGAGGAAAGCAAGGTGATGCT